TTCTAACCACTGCTCCATCATCGCTCTTTGATCAAACTAGTCATCAAATTATGCCTTTCCTAAGATTCACAGTTCCTCATGCCAGGCAGTACTAGTCGGGTTATGTACTTCTCTAAAAACAACAGCCACACTGATTGTGGCAAAGGTAAGGGAACTGAATCAACTTTGTTCTGTATGTAAATCTCTGACACCTGTTAATCAAGTTAGTATTGGACAGAGGAGCCAGATGGCCCAAACAAGTTTGCAAAGCTGTATCATAGATGAGAAAAAAAATCAGTCATCCAACAACACAGCATCTCCTTGGCTGAAGAAAACTCAATCAGGCATTTCTTAGATAATTAACACGTGAGTAAAGGATAAAACAGTCAGACACAGATTTACATGCTCCTTTATTTTCTGTATGCTGACATTGAGCATCTGCAGTGATGAAGCTTTCCCATTCATATAGATTTTCCCATATAATTTGAAAAGTAGAAAGCTAGGGTTGTAACTTTCATCTGAAAAGTGAAAAGCAGCCTTGACTTGCAGTGTCAGTAGGAGCTACATATTAAAACATTGCCTGGAGAAAGAGTAAAGTGTTGTTAGCTAAGTGGGTTTTTTTTCCCTACACAAAAGTCATATACAGAAATTGTGTTTTTCCATAGATAAAGTCTGTGTTGTGCAACTTGACTGTTGCATGGTGTTTGAGATTGGGATATGCTCTTATCTAGAAATACTACTAAAAATAGTCATTTGATGATGATTATTTTTTAGTTCTCCTGAGCTCTGCCAGGAATGATTTTGTGAAAGATGTGATAATTTACTTCTAATATCTAAGGGGGCATTTCATTGGAGGCCATGACCTGTTCTCTGTCATGCCAAAGAGCAAAACATGGAATAATTTTCTCAGATTACACAAGACCAAATTCTGTTTGAATGTTCAGAAGTCTTTTTAGCGATAAGAGCATATTAATAGTGGAACCAACTCCTTAACAAGGTAGTAGATTTCATCCAGTACAGCCCGCCCTCGATTTTCGACCACAGTTGATCCCAAAATTTCTGTAGCTAAGTGAGACAGTTGTTAGCTGAATTTTTCCCCATTTTATAACCTTTCTTGCCATGGTTGTTCAATGAATCACTGCGGTTGTTAACTTAGTAGGATGGTTGTGAAGTAAATGTGGCTTCCCCCATTTTCTTTGCTTGTCAGAAGGTCGCTTAAAGATTAATCACATTGACCCCGGGACTCTGTGGCTGTCATAAATATGAGTCAGTTGCCAAGCATCTGAATTTTGATCACGTGACCATTGAAAAATGGTCATAGGTCACTTTTTTCAGTGCCGATGTGACTTTGAACAGTCACTAAATGAACTGTTGTAAGCCGAGGACTACCTTTATATACCATCAGAGGTTAGACAGTCTTGTGTGGGGGATGCCTTACACAGAAACCTCTCTGTACTGAGCTTTGGTGTTTGCTGGTCTGAATATTCCCATTCAGTTTGTGATTGTGAGAGTGCCCAATTTCTGCTGATAGGATTTTGATTCAGTATTCTGGATTAAAGTGCATCCAGCTTTCTAGTCCTAGTTCACCTTGCTGTTTCCATAACACTTTCCAGGTTTCCTTATTATTGCGCCTTACCCATCTAATATTCATATTCCTCCCCTCCCTTTGTAGTTGTTTTCATATGCAGCGTGATTTGAATCACAATACCGTTGAGAATATATTTAATTGGATGTTGCTCCTCTTTTTCCCAGCAGTGAGGAAAGGATGCACATACAGCATGTATGTGGGTGGAGATATGAAGTGAGGTCTCTGCAAGATTAATTTGTCAGTTAACGGTAAAGTGTCTTTGAGTTGGAACAGGGTGTTAGGACTGTTTGGATAATGGCAGTAAGCTTTCAGGGTCTGTAAGGGGGAAAGCACTGGCTGGAAAATATCCAATAGAAACCTGAATACTTTCCAGGAAAATTGGCTTCTGAATGTGCTGACTCCAACTAGAGAACATTATCAGCTAATTTGTCTGTAGGATATTGTTTTTTTTAAAAAAAATTCGTTAACTTTTTAGATATGGGCAGAAGGCATCATCCAAACTTCTGTTTTCAATATTTCAGATTTCACTTTAGGAAATGACAGTAAAATCAATGTTAAAAACTTTTAAAGATTCTTTTCCCCTTCGTATGCTTTTCCTTCAAATATACCAAATGTGTCAGCCTGGTTTATTCTTTCTAGATTTTTGTACCTAGGGATGGAATGAATTGCATGCCATGCCCTCATACTTAGATATTTATGAATGCATTTAAGCTCTCTTGTCAAATACGAAAGTTGCGCGGAGGGAAAATTGAACATATTTCTTTTAAAATACTTCAAAATATTTATTATTCATTGAAAACATGGTGTAACTGCTCATCTTATATTGAATTTTGGGCACCTCCCAATCAGCAATAAAAACAACGTAACTCATATTATCTACTAAAAACATAAGCATTAAAAAACTGGCATGAAAGTTAAGCTTCCAAAATCCTTATTAAAGGATTTCATCCACCTCACCCTATCCTATCACTCGGAGGAAAAGCCAGATCTTAAGTGGTTTCTGAAAGGCTAGGAGGACTTTAAGGGAAAGGGTATTTCACAAAGCAGGGTCTATCATGGAAAAGATATACTTTCTGGATTCCATAAGGTAGCAGTGTTTAAGGGAATGGGCTAGGAACATACTCTTCCTATCTGGACCAGTAGGAAAAATAGATGCCTTTAGGGAGAGATGGCCGCTGGCCTTGTGCCACATAGGGTGTTATAGGTAATAACCAGCACCTTGAATTGTACCCAGAGGGAAACTGGGAACTAGTGCAACTCACACAACAGAGATGTCATATGGGTAAACCCATCACTTCATACACTTCATTCACTTTCTGGGTCAGTTGTAGGTATCATGTAGTGTTCAAGGGCAGCCCCATGTAAACTGCATTGCAGTAATCCCAACTGGAATGGCTGTCCAGATTTTTTTAAAGATAAAATATGCCATGCTTAATGTGCCCCTTCGTTTAAATGTATTACTTAAAACATAAACGATTGCCTTTGTATCATCCATGCTTTCCAAGACCATTTAATCATCTTGTAGAATACACTTATTCTACAAGAATAACAGAAGGATGGAGAAGGAACAATTGAAAGGTTGCTCATGATGGCGATTATGATCAGCCCATAAAAATGGAACAGTGATGAATTATGGGAAGAATAAGATGAAATTCTTGAGTCAGTAAATACCGAAAAACCATCCTCGGACTGCAATTAGATGAAGGCTTGGAAAAACCCAATATAATATTTATGCATTATTGACTAGAGCAGAGGAGAGTGGAATGTATGGTTTTGCATTGATAGTAGGACAGGCTGATTTAATGGAGCAGAAATACTTAAATTAAATACTTAAATTCATATCTTTGAAATATTGGCCTAGTAATTCTGCTGGTGTTTTAAAGTTTAATATTAATTTGAATAGATGCCCACTGTTGGCTAACTTTAGAAAATTTGGCTTGAATTTATTTCTTTGGATAAAGCATATGCTTTCATTTAAACAAAAACTAAGCGCTGATTAATCTTTCCCAAACTTTAGAATAATGTTGGCTTGACAGATTGTAAACCCAATTATGGGTTTTTTTAAAAAAAAACAATTCCAGATAAAAGAAGGGTCCAATTAAATGCCCTTCTTTCTAGTTATGAATTTGAAGGGCAGAAGAAAAATGAACATGTGGAGAAAATTGGGAGGTTTTTTTGAAGCAAAGGAGTGTTTTTTTTTTTTTAATGTATAGCGAGACAGTTGCTGGCCCTCCCTCCTTTGAAAACAGTGTTAAAACAGGAAGGAAGGAAGGAAGGAGAAACAGCAAAATGAGACTTCATTTGTTTAAAAAGCATGGTTTGGGAAAGCGAAAGCCAATCTTTAAAGTCATCTTGTGAATTACTGTAGGTGCAAGTGTGAAGTGAAAGAGTTCCCTGTTCGGGGAGATTGAGTGTGACATAAACCCTCCCTCCACCCACCTTCCTTTCCTTCCTCCTACCCTCCTCTCCTTCAGCAGCGACATCAACAAACCATCTAGGCCACAATGGTTAGTACAGCAGAGAGCTTGAAGCAGCTTGGGCTGAGGTCAAGCACTCCAATTCTAACCTCTCAAGGGCTTTCTCTATGTGTTGCCAATGTACTGGTAAAAATGACTTTAAACTCTTGTCAGCGCAGCCACTGGTGCATGCATCGCAGTCCCACTCAAATAAACCTGTCACAACACAGAGTCAGCAGCTAGAGAAGAGTACAAGGGCAGGCCTCTAGCTTTTCATTCGAGCATCACTAAACGTGCACAGAGTGCCCAATTATTTCAGCATTATTGAGCAAGCCTACAGGAGGACCCAAGCCTTGCTACATTAGATTTTCTTTAGTAATTTGCTCAAGTACCACTGAGGACACTTAAAGGACTTTAAACGGTGGCTGCAACCAGTTTCCTTTTCTGGATTGTTAATTCAGGTTTCCTTTTTTTCAAATTAACTCTTGCTGCATGCTGGGTGGCTGCTTGGGGAGAACAGCTTAATGCTTGCTTTCTCCATTTTCAGCTTTCTTTTTCCTTCAATAAATAAATAAATAAATTAAAAGCAAAACTTAATGGCTGCCTTGATAGTCAACTCGTGTTTTATTTTCCTGTTTCTCCCCCCCCCTGCCAAATAATATAATGGAGTGAATAACAAGGTCTCCCCCTAATCTTGACTGGAGCCAGAGTTATTATTTAAGGCAGGCGCTCAGAGGGAATGCGTTGCATTAAACTTTGGTTATAAGCATCGGTCACCTCCATTCTTTATTCTCATGTACACCGTGTTTCTGTCCTTTTGTTTCTTCAAGGGTTGGAATAATTAGTAGCAAATCGGGATCATTGATTAGTTGACAGCCCTTGAAGACGCATGAGTCCAGGACGTGCACATAGTTAACCGCGCTGAAAGTTGGTTGACTATGAAACAAATGCAATAACTCTTGTTTAATTTTTCACAGCAGCAGCAACTCCAGGCCCAGCATTTATCACATGGACATGGCCTTCCAGTGCCTCTCACTCCACATCCTTCCGGATTGCAGCCACCCACCATTCCACCCATTGGCAGCAGTGCGGGCCTCCTAGCCTTGTCAAGTGCCCTGGGGGGGCAGTCTCACCTGCCAATCAAAGATGAAAAGAAGCATCACGATAGTGATCACCAAAGAGGTAAGACTTGTTTTCTAGGTTTCAGCTTTCAGAGAAAGTTGCTTCAGATGTTAAAAGGTACAAGGTCCTTGCCAGGTTCCTTGAGGTTTTTTTTTTTTTTCACTTTGTCTTTCCTTCTGCTGTAACCGTCTAGTGCAGTCCTGCTGTCCATCTGAGTTGGGAAGTATGCAGCTATAGTTCAAGATAGCCAAAAGAATCCAGATTTGGAAAGGGCGTTCTTTTAGTTCTCCATTTGTCTATTTGAGACTCCATGTTTTGGGGCAGAGCCCTGCCTATTTAATGGAGAAAAGCTAAGGGTGCATCTTGATTATTCTAAAGCTTAGTTGGTCTGTAAGTGGAACTGAAGAGAAAGTGGCATTCTTCTCTACAAATGTCCAACCTGTTTTAATAATGGGGGGCAGTCAACATGCACTAGATCACTTTTTTTCTGCAGTGTTTAGGACCGTAAAAGAAATTGGGAAGAGCTACAAATTCTTTTAAAGTTCCATGACATTGAAAAGCCCTGATCCTACCCATTGAAGGGGTTTCTCTCTGACTGTGGATTCCTCCACTGAGATCAGAATCATGTTTCCAACTTTAAATGGGGTTCTTGTGAGACATAGAGACTGTCCCATATCCCATTCGGCTTCATACAAAATCTCTGTAAGCTGCTATGGCATCTTTTGAAGCTGACTTCATTTTTCAAGGACTGATCTGGGTCAGCCTTACTTGAACAATTCTTATTCTTCCTCCACAGGAGAAACTAGTCAATAACCGCCAGTTATTATGTTCATGTGTGCAACAGGGTTAGTTAATATACAATGGCTAGAAAAAAAAACCCTGTGAATTGTCTAACTGAAAAAGAAGCCATATTTAGTTCCACGACAATGGAATAACGGAGGAGGAAAAAAGTGCCAGGAAAACGTGATCATAAATAAACCACTGTATCTCATTGTGTGTAATTAAATAACTGTGACATTTTGGTGTTTTATAATACATAGGTGACAATTTGGAAGGGTAGTGTTATTAAACATTAAAAGTTGAAGAGGCCTATGTGCTAAGAAATAAGGATCAAATACAGAAGTAAGAAGCATGCAACTGGTTTATAATTCTCTCTGAAAAAGATGCTCACCCTATATAATTTTGTGCTGCTGCTATAGCATCTTTCAAAGGCACTTAATCGACCTGTTATGGTTAATGGAACCAACTTTAAACATTGGTTGTATGCACTTATTAATTAACTTTATAACAAAGGTAATATCTTTGCCATTTATTTTTTAATGGTGATTAAGGCTGTGGTGTGTTTTTGGAGCTAAAAGAAATATACAGTCTTGTATAAAATACCTTATATTTCTGTCTCTTTCCTTCTCTCATTTGCTCATGTTGCTGCTGCTGTTCTGCATGAAGACAGAGACTCCATAAAGGTAAGATTCTATTTCACAGATGGAAGGAATGGGCTAAAAGAATTGCAGTGCCTTTATTACAGTTGAACTAAAGCATAGGAAAAGTTATTATGGTAACTAGATGGTGATATCCATATTGATTAGCCTTGGGTAGACAATTTTAAAACACTATATAAAAGTGAACATTCACTGCTGGACTCTGTGAGCTTGTTATGTACCATATCACCACAAGGATTGTCAGTTGGCATGAAGATGCTTCTACCTACTTTTGTTCTGATATACAGAAATTCCTTCCACTGGGAAAGAGCTCCAGCACATGTACTGTGAAGAACCTCTATGAAGATGTACTGTTATAACCTGAGGAGGGCATTTTAAGCCTTGTGCAGACAGGGAGAAAAGTGGCCTCATTCTGCATCAGCAGCTGTATTAGCAGCTGATGGAATATACAATATATATATATATACAGTATATTCTTGTTTGTTGGCTAATTCTTGAAAATATAATCTGCTATTGTCAGAAACTTACTGGGGGATAAAGCAGGAGAGGAAGATCCTCCTGGGAGATGTTTTGTGTTCCATGGCAGGAAAGATTCATATCAGAGTCTTCCTGCCTATCAATCTCCAAGGAGTTTTTATTTCTAGTGCATGTCTCCATGAGGGCTGAAATGGCAGAGAATAAATATATCATGGGCATGACTTTTATCTGTTAAATGGCTTAACTCCCATACTATGAACCCTATAATGCATATTTCAGTGGGGTTAGCATTGGCATCTGGAAGATTATTTATATTTCAACAGGCCTGCAAAACAGACTGCAAAACACTGTCTTTTAGAATATTTTTAGTCAGAAATGCATCCTAGATCTGGCACTAATCTATTGCTTAGCAGGGACATCTCAGCTTGTATATGATGTAAAGCAGAATATTTAAGTCCTTTTAATCGTTCTGAAGTCTGTGGGTTTTTTAAACAATGTTTCTGCCAACTAGTTTCAATAGCAACTAATATGAAAATATAAATACTAAGACAATTTCATTAATCAAAGAACAAAAAAGGCTGCAACAAATAAAAATCTGCCCAAAGCACAGTAAAATTACTTAAGCCAGAAAATAAATTAAAAATCTTTATTGTCTAAACAAAACCAATGAACCCGCCAACTCCTGTGGCATAAGGACATCAGAAAAAGCTTTGGCTGAGCATAAAATGAATTAATTTCATGCCATCAACATTTTATGCCATCAACATTTGAGAGCAGACTGCACATCCAGAATGGATTCTACATTTCATTTTGGTTCTTTTGAAGGAGATCCACAGATGGGAAAAAGCCAATCTCGCCTCCATTGGTAACAGAACCCATATAGGTTATAGCATTTAAAGGCCAATACTATCTTTGTTTGTGTTAATATTTATATTTTGCCTATTCTGGGCAAAGCTCAATGCCTGGCTGAATTTTTTTTAAAATAAGCACAATAAGGGCAAACAGCAGAGAACTGAAAGCCACAGCAATACTTCAAATATGGATGTAATGCCTCTTTTGTTGAGTTAATTATTTGGCTGTTAATGAAGATCCAAGCACATTTTTCCTAAGACAGCTATTATTTAATTTGGACATAATCGAGATATGTATCACAGTGACTAGGCCAATGCTCCAAAGAAGACAATTGTTGGCAAACAAATCTTAGATAGTAAAGGTTCTTAGTTGCCTAAAAATAATTTATCTTTAGATTGAGCAAGGTAAAGGTATGGAGAAAAGCTTCCGATGGGGGCAGAGGGAATGGAAGAAGAAATGGTTTCCATCATTAAATACAGCAAACTTTATCTAAAGTCCTCATATTGTTTCTCACACTTCTCAGTCTGTATTTGTCAAGCACAAAGAATCTTACATTAAGTTGCAGTTTATTATCAAGCCTATATACAAGAATCTAGTCAAATAAAGTTCAATACTAACTTGATGTCAGATAAAGGTCAACGGAATTCAAGAGGGGTTGTATTTAGACCATTTGTGGGAATGTAATATTTAGGCTGATGGCTTATTTAACTCCGCCCCCCTCCGCTTCTTTTCTAAAGTATTACATTAAAAAAAAGCCAGTTCTGCAAGTTAAACAGATACTAATCAGGTACCTATACCTATTTTATGTACCTGATATAGGTAGTCCTCAACATGACCACAATGGAACCCAACATTTCTGTTGTTAAGTGAGACATTTGTTAAGTGAGTTTTGCCCCATTTTACCACTTGTCTTGCCCCAGTTGTTAAGTGAATCCTTGCATTTGCTAAGTTTAACATGGTTGTTAAATGAATGTGGCTTCCCCATTGACTTTGCTGGTCAGAAGTTCGCAAAAGCTGGTCACATGACCCCAGGACACTACAACCATATGAACCAGTTGTCAAGCTTCCGAATTTTGATCATGTGACCATGGAAATGCTGCAATGGTCATAAGTGTGAAAAAGTCATAAGTCATTTTTTTCAATGCTGTTTTATCTTTGAATGGTCCCTAAAGGAACTGTTGTAAGTCGAAGACTACCTGTACATAGTATAAATCACTGATATTGTACTTTGAGTTGCTCATGGAATTATGAGTCTATTTTACAGATGGAGGAAATAGATTTATAAATGTTAGCCAGATGAAAGGTGGAGAAATGAGATACCTAAAAGCTGTTCTGTGGAGGCTTCATGGTTTCATATTTTACCAGTACTTGGTCTCTTTTTTTAAGCATGATGACAAAGGTTTGAAGCTTGATCCCCAAAATCAATCCTGTGCTGGTTTTGTTGGTTATTTTGTTGTGTTATAACAGAGTAAAATTGACCTTGTTCTTGTGAACTTCACAGTTAACCCCAGGGTTCCTAATAGCTACAAACTGATAGGAACTGTCAGTTTTCAATCCGCAACAATTTTCAGTATGTGTAGCAGTGGCAGATTAAAAAGAGGGAGAGGGAGGAGGAGGGAAGGGAGAGAGAGAGAGAGACAAAAGGAGGGAGGGAGGGAGGGGAGGGGAAGGTGCCAACCTACAAATAGACCAGTTTCCCAAAGAACCAGGTCTAAACCGTTTCTTCCACATTGTGGAAAAAGAAACTTAACATGCCCTCATGCTTGAATTATTGAGCTCAAAATTTATGTTGCTAAGTGAAACATTTGTTAAGTGAGTTTCCCTCATTTTATGACCTTTTTTTGCCCCTATTGTTAAGTGAATCACTGCAGTTGGTAAATTAGTAATCTGGTTGTTAAGTGAATCTGGCTTCCCCATTGAGTTTGCTTGCCAAAAGATTGCAAGAGGCGATCACATGTCCCCTGGGACACAGCAACGGGTCAACATTTCTTACCACAGTTTTGAATGGGCTACCGCCCATTAGTGGGCCCTGGCTCAGGGATGAGACCCCTGATGTAAAGAACAAATCTTATCAACTGTCCCCTTCAGTGGTGACATGTGCTGAATACATCCAGTAAGACCTCACTTTCCTTTGAGGTCTGAAGGGAGGATTGAGGTGGCAAGGCTGAAGACTTCCATTGTTGTGAAGTTTCACTTAAGAACTCCTCCCCAGTATTGTCTGCTTTTTGAGTTTTAGAAGAGTGTTGGATCAATGAACCAATGTGGTATTACTGCTTTTGCTATGTTTTTGCTAATGTTTCACCCTTTTCCTAAGAGGTCTGTAGGGGGCTTGCATAAGTGCACCAATGTGCCTACGGCCCTATCCTATTGTTTATTTTTTATTCGTATCCATTTCATATATACATAACCATGCCTATACTTATACCTGTTATCTAATACTTGCTTGACAAATAAATAAAGCTGCATCTTTCAGCCATTCATAGTGGCTCTTCCATTTTTTCTGGTTACCCAGAAATGCCAAACCAGTAGTTGACAGACAACTACCAGGCGACTAATCATATATAACTGAACAACTGATTTATATTGTACTTAAAGTTGTCCTCAACCTGCAACCATAATTGAGCCCAAATTTTCCGTTGCTAAGACAGTTGTTAAGTAAATTTTGCCCATTTTATGACCTTTCTTGCCATAGTTGCTAAGTGAATCACTGCAGTTGTTAAGCTTGTAGCATGGTTGTTAAGTGAATCTGGTTTCCCCATTGCCTTTACTTGTCAGAAGGTCGGTAAAGATGATCAGATGACTCTGGGACTGTCATAAATACCTGCCAGTTGCCGGTATCCAAATTTTGATCGCGTGACAACAGGGATGATACAGTGGCCAGAAGTGTGAAAAACAGGTAGAAGTCACTTTTTTCAGTGCCATTGTAACTTTGAATGGTCACTAAATGAATGTCTGTAAATCGGGGATTACCGCTATTGGATGACAAGTGACTAGCTATTTCCATGTGTTTTTCCATTGCAGGATATGTAAGGCTGTTTTATTAAAATACCAAAAATTGAACAGTAAATTCTTTTTAAAAGCTAAATATTATGACCTACTATACCTGGCAAGGTATTTGTTTCATTTTTTTCAGTGTAGGAACATTGAGAATTTATGGTTACATATAATTTGAAATTAAACCTAAGAAATTAACACATTGCTGAGTGATTTGTGAGTGTGTTTAAATTCTCTTGCCTGTTGGCCAGCAATGCTCAAAAAGTCAAGAAAGGACAATAGAAATGAACCAATGAGGTATGTCATTGTTTGGTAGATGAGACTAATTCACCTGCCATTATTTGGGTTCCTTCTTTCTAAACCATTAGGTGGGCATCCAGTGTGACAGCATACAAAGTACAACTCTTTTTCCACTGATTTATTACACGATGAGAGCTATAAATAAATGTTTGTCTTGTACACCCATCAAGTTGCAAAGTTGGGTTGTCTCTGCATCTAGGGCTTGTTGCCAGCTTTGCAAGGTGAAATAGTTTGCTAATTTCTGTAAATGTTATCCATAATACCCAGAGTAGCAGTTAGTTGCTTGTTCTATTGATCTGTTCTCTCTTAAGTGGCTCCTGGTTAAGAAAGGCTTTTTATGATTGTCTGCTATGTGACTTGAGATGGTTTTTTATTGGCCAGAACGTGCCAGTTGCCAGCAG